AAAAAAAAAAAAAGAAAAGAGTTGGGTTTAAGTTTTGTGCATTGACCAAGTAACATATATGTTTGCCCTCATATTATTTATAAGATAACTCTTATTTACTCTATTAATTGATAACCTAAAATAAATAATACACAACTTGTTATAATAAGTTAAATTATATTAAAAAGTGTAAAATAATGATTATTATCAGTTGTACGTAACTAGGGGTGTCAAATGAGCGGGTTAAACTGATTTTAAGTGGGTCAAAATGGGTTGAGTCAATAAAAGAGCGGATTTCCTTAAAAGTAACTTGGGTTGAGATAGGTTGGGTCAAGTTGGGCTAACATTTGGTCATAGCCCAACCCGTCCAACTCTTATCAATCTTTAATTAATGTTTATTATATTCTTATGAATTGTTTAATTATCGAATAAGACTTTTTTTCTTTTGTAATGATCGTATATAACATATCAAACAAAAAAAAAATTATTTTAAAGATACTTTAGCAAAGTTATTTGTAGATCAATTTGAGCTAAATTAGCCCAACTTTAAAAGAATTGAAATGGGCTAGGTCAAAATGTGTTAAGTTCAACAAATGGGCGGATCAATGACCAGCCCAATCTTAAATGGGTCAAATAGGTTTGGACTCAAATTGTCACTCCTACGTGTAACTTAAAATCTTTAAGAAAAGCTAGCATAAGATAAAAGGATAAATATAATGAGACTGAGATTGTGAAAAGTTATCCTTTACAACACTGGAAGATAAACAAAGAAACAAAATAAGCTTACTATGTAGAATTTTGATTAGCGAAAGAGTTGCTGCTCATTAGCCTAATAGCAGGTTTGACCAAACTGGAGAAATCAGCTATTTTGAAAGTAGTTTTTTCAAAAGTGCTTTTAAAAAATGTATTAGTATACTATATTTATAAACTAATTTTGGAAAAAATAGAATAACATATAAACAGAAAATGTAAATGAAACAAAAGTTAATCCGAGCCCACTGAATTCACAGTGTTTCCTTAAGGAATTTTAATCCCCTCCTAGTACCCAAGGTTATGGATTATTTCCTCCCAGGATAGAACGAATTACACACTGGTGTAGTGGTACTTCAAACCCCAATGTTTCAGCGAACACAAAGCTCGGTAGCTAATCACACTTACTGTTGCTTTCTTTGAAAATAAAACAATGCAGAAGAAGGAGGAGAACTTAGAAAATCGTATGAAAATTCTGAGAGAATGGACTTCTATTTATAGCCAACGTTGGGCTGAAAACTGAAGAGGTGCAACTCTTCAGAATGACTGTTTATGCAAAACGGCCATAACATAAATGCCATAACATAAATGGCTAATTTATAAATTAATAAATCGGGAATTGAAGAGGGAAGTTTAATTTTCAGTTACACAACTGAAAAATTGAAAACGGTTTTGTTGGATTTTAATATTAATATTAATATTCTGTTATTAAAACGAATATTTAATAACATTGTTGTTAATATTTACTATTAACAAATAAATTTGGTCCAAAAAATTAATCAATCAATCATTTGACCAAATCTAAATCCAAATCCAAATCCGAAGTCGAAGCCGAAGCCGAGCCGAGCGAGCGACGACGATGACGGCGTGAGGCTTGCCTTATTCTCAACTCTCTAAGAGCTAGAAGAAGAGCAATTGCTTATATACCCATCAAAAACCTCTTCCTCTTCTAATATGGGACAATGTCCCTTTGTCAATTGGGGGGAGGGGGAGACTTAAAATTTCACTTAAAAGTTTTATTTCCCTTCATTTCCCATTCACCCACTTTTAAGCCATATTAATGCTTAAAAACCCCAACAATCCTCTACATGAATGGGAAGTGGCTATATCATGGAAATATGCATGAAAACTGTGTGATTCGCAAACAAGGATTAATTGTATCTGGATAAATATGTTTCCCTTTGAACTTTCCGTAGTGAACTTATGTCGGATATACTCGGTCAATCGGTAGATTTGATATCTTTGAACCGTCGAACTTTGGTGTATACCTAGACAACCATAAGTCACACAACCAACCCTTAACCGTCTTTGGTTCTCATTGTTGTGTTCGTTTCAGCCATGAACACCACCTGGTTTCATAAGTGCATAAAGAACTGGCCTTACAAAATTCTCCTTGAAGCGGCTTACACTTCACACTTACATAGGTGATTCCTAAACGTGTCATCCCGTAGATACACTATTTGATATACCCCGTACCAAATTTAGAAATCATTAAAAAGTCTTAACGCTTTATCCTTGGTACTGAACATTGTCTCATCACGAGAATGGACCAAAATTTTAGTTGAAATATTGAACCGTCATTAATGACTTTGTTTGATCTCCTTGAACCTAGATCTTGGGATCTACAGTCTTCTAGGTAGAGTTACCGCCACAATGACTTGTTCTCGGCCATAGTTCCATTCTCTTTGATGATTTCTCAACTATCTCTCTAGTTAGGCCTTTTATAAGTGGATCCGCTACATTATCGCTTGACGTTACATAATCAATCGTGATAATTCCTCTAGAGAGTAATTGCCTAACGGTTTTATGTCTTCATCGTATATGATGAGATTTACCGTTATACATAACGCTCCCAGTCCTTTCAATTGCCGCTTGACTATCGCAATGTATGCACATTGGTGCCAACGGTTTAGGCCAAAATGGAATGTCTTCCAAGAAATTTCGGATCCATTCAGCTTCTTCACCGGCTTTATCTAAGGCTATGAATTCTGCCTCTATTGTAGAGCGGACAATACAAGTTTGTTTGGATGACCTCCAAGATACCGCTCCTCTGTGGACTTAGAATCAGTAGAACCGGTGATCCAATTTGCATCACAGTATCCCTCAATCACTGCAGGATATTTACTGTAGTGCAAAACAAAGCCCTGGGTATGTTCTAAATATCCTAAAACTCGTTTCATTGCCATCCAATGAGATTGACATGGATTGCTCGTGTATCGACTCAATTTACTTATAACACAAGCTATATCTGATCGTGTACAATTCATGATGTACATTAAACATCCCGACACACAAGCATAATCCAGTTGTGATATACTTTGGCCTTTGTTCTTTGCTAATGCAAGATTCACGTCAATTGGAGTCTTTGCAACTTTAAAGCCTTAGTGCTTCAAGTACTTTCTTAATATAATGAGATTGTGACAATGCCAGACCTTGAGGAGTCTGGATCTTAATTCCCAGAATTAAATCAGCAACTCCCAAGTCCTTCATATCAAACTTGCTAGTTAGCATACGCTTAGTAGCATTTATGTCGCATTGTCATTACTCATTATCAGCATATCGTCCACATATAAGCAAACAATGACTATGTGATTTGAAATATTTTTAATGTACACACATTTGTCATATTCATTTATCTTAAAATCATTTGACAACATTATTTGGTCAAATTTCGCATCCCATTATTTAGCTTCTTGTTTTAGTCCGTAAAAGGATTTAACAAGTTCACATACCTTCTTTTCTTTACCTGGAACCACAAACCCTTCAGGTTGTTCCATGTGGATTTCTGTATGAACTCCTACTTCGATTCATCTTCCTAGACTTGTTAAGTTTATCTATTCTTCCTAACAGTTCCTTTTTAATCTGTGCAATTACTAGCTCTCTTTGCACAGTTTGCCATCTTAAGATTCTCCAGTTCCTAGCCCTCCATGTATGATATATACTCGCTTCCCACATTGCAACCACCATTTCCTTTTTACCTTGCTTCCGGTGCTTCCTTTTTATGTTGGCTAATGCTTGCTGATAGTTACCAATCGAGTTGTGAACACTAGTCCATTGGAATAGGGAATTACGAATTGTTGTGCCCAATTACAGTCCACAAATAAGCGCTGATGGGATTCCTTGGCATTATCATCATATAAACAACAATTAATATCTTCCACTGGAATATGTAGCTTGATTAATCTCTCCTTCAGCAACAGTCTACCTTGTAGAGCAAGCCAAGCTATGAATCTGTGCTTAGGTTGAGCTACAGCAGTCCAAAGAAGTCATGCCGTTTCCAGTCTTCCATGCACCCCAATAATGACATTGTAGCAGTTCGAAATAGAATACTCATCCCCTATGCTTAGGGTGAATCTATTATGTTGGTACAAATCCTTCATTTCCTCTTTTTGAAAGTTAAGTTTCCTCCAATACCAGCTGCTATCCTATTGAGGTTTGTGATTCCAAATATTGGATAAAACTCTAAGCATCAAATGTTTTTAGCTTTAATGAAGCTATCTCTTCAAAAATAATTACCTGCAACTTGATCTTCTTCCCTTGAACATAAAGTAGTTTTCTCAACTGATGCATAAAGTCTATCACATGTTTTATTCTTTCATACGACAAGACAACTCTAACATGGTTGACACTTTCATAAAATAAAGCAGCCATAAATGCAAGAGACCCCGCAACAAAGGATCCTTGGATAGCTGTGAAAAGTATCTATAAAAAAAAAGTTTACTCAAGTTGAGGATATGGCTAAAAGAGCATGAAGAGGGCAATTTAATGTTGCTTCACGCATTTTTTTTAGATCATTAGTCAATAGCTCCCTGGACAGCACAATAAGGGTGACTTCTAGCGCGCTTGCAGTGCTGAGCTACTATGTTGTTTCTCATTGGGTTCTTAGAATATTGTATTCTGTGTAAATGTGCTCATTCTAATTAACACCGATGGCGTAACTGGAGATTTTCCAGAAAAGAAGGGTAAAGGGATGAGGAAAAACAAGAAAAGTAGGAAGAATAGTACGAGAATGATCAATTGCAGAACTATCGAAGCATATGTGAGCACGTGATTTTTGCCATATATGAATTACTTCTACAGAATCCCCAAGAAATAG